AGTACTCAGGTAAGTGTTTGCTTTGAAGGGGAGGAGGAAACTAGTATTGGAAGGTTTTTTACCTTAATACAGAGAGTGCATTAAAATGGTTGTAAACCCTTACCTATACCCAGTGAAGTGATACACAGAGATTACACAAATCTTCCCACATAGGTTGTACCTGTCTATCTGCAGGATTATCTTCTCTACAGCCATTCAAAGTCCAGAATTCATAAAGCTTGTCTGAGAGTTCAGAAAAAGGGATCGGAGAGCTGAAATTACACTTTGCCGCGCTCAGTGAGGAGAGCTCTGAGAGCTGATTGGAGGGAAGAGACACACCCTTCTCCACAGAGCACACAGGGACAGAGCTGAGGCTGTTAATTAGCTGGAGTTTCCTCTCTTATCACCATTTTTCTCTTGGTGTCAGGAAAACTTGTCAGAAGTGACTGATAGCAGAGGAACAGAGCAGAGCAGCAGACAGAAATTACAGGTAATGCTCTGGATTGAGGCGCACACTATAGAGGGATATGCTTTGTTCTTATTTCATATCTGTGGTTTACAACCACTTAAAGATAAAAACCCTTTAGAGTTTCCAAGAGTAGTTGCTTTTTAGTTTTTGCAACTGTTATTTTGACATTTTTGGTATTAATATTCTGCATTTACCAGCAGTAAGCAGCAAAGCAAGTAGGGTGAAGGGAAAGGTCGGTCGTTTTTGGCACAAGGTCTGTGAAATCCCAGTACTCGAGAGTTAGCTCCAGCACCTGATATGGCAAATATAGCATTCCAGTAATAAATTCATGATACACAAAGATGTGCCTGGGTGCAAAGACCCCTTATTAGTTAGACCCTGGCCTCCCTTCCACAAACACCACATTAAAAAAAACACATTAGGAAAAAAAAGTAAAAATATATATTTAATTTATACCACAGCTTCTGCCTGTGGCATCTAGGCAATGCTATTGTCATGATCAAACTAACAAGACTCCAGTAACCCATGTGGATCTCAAATCTTACAAGAAACCCATCCAGCAGCATCCCATTCATCTCTATTGAACATGTACATGCACATCAGCAAGAAAACTAAAAAAGTGAACACAGAAAGCTGGGCTGTGTGGAGGGGAACCACACTGCATCTGATATTGGTGTTTGCTATTCTAACTAAGGGGGGTAGGGAAGCCATAAATGAATGTTGCTATATAATGACACCTGTACCATATATGAGATAGTATTATGCATAAACATGGGAAATTATAAAGAAAAGTAGACTAAAGAAAGCATCTATAGGAAAACAAAAATACAAACACTGGACTTCTAGTGGGGTGAAGCCCTAGACTAACTTACCTGTAGGGCTGCCTACAGGCTTAACAAAACAATGCTACTACCCAATCCAGCCAAGTTTGACTAAATCTAAGGATGTTTATAAGCTTGTTGAAACTTCCATGACCCTGGCCAATGCTCCTGGGGAAATGTGATTCATTTTATTTGGCTGATCATTATTTTGCCTGAGCTGGCTGATGCCCAGAGTGTTCCTTCTTCCCACCTCTTAGCCACAACCACGCTCAACGGGACCATGCACAGCCATTAGTATCATTCTTCAAAATGAGAATACGGGTAGTGGGAGTATATACTGAATGTTGAGGGAATGATGACAATGAAGCAGATTATCAAAGAGTGGGCAAAGAATATTCTTACAGTATGTTAAATAAATATGTTTGTGTGCCAGGGGATAGATGCTAGCTAATGTATCTTCGTTTGCCTCTACTGAAAAAAATGCGGCAGGTTTTACATCGACCGGAAAGCTTTGTTCTTACAATCTTGCTGATATTTCTGTTTTTTCTGAAAGAACATATTTTGCTTTGTTAAAAGACCAATTTTTTTCCACACTTGCATTTTAATTAACAAGCCACCATCAGCTACATGCATAGCAAGCTGCTCAAGCTGTTTTTACTCTCAATAATTTTGAAAGGCAGACCTAAATAGTTTGGCAAGAGGAGCTTATCTCTTACTGAAGCTGACTAAATCAGAAATGTTTACATACTGGCTTTTCCTCATTCACTAGATTTTCACTAGTTTAAGTTACGTTTATAGAAAACATGGACAATTTGCACACTTATTAGAAAAAGCAGTACAGACTTTACTTTTTGGTAACTGTTTTCATATAAACATGTATAAACTATTAGTACTGTTACTGATTTTTGGTAGTTGTTGTCAACTGAATGTTGACAACAATGTTGGCATTGACTGGTAAATACTGACCCATTTTCATGACCAATCATGGCACAATTTTATCTGTTTTGGGCACAAAAGGCATAAGCAGACATTACTTTTTAGTATTCATAGAGACACAACTAAATATGTCTAAAATGAATTGTAAAATGCAATACATATAAAAATTATGCACACATTTTTGTAATTCATAACCACCCAACGGCATTTTGATTTACTATAGTTAGATGGGTAGAAGATGAAGTCTATTTGGTTGATCTGGATAACTGCCCTTAATGCTGCCTGGACAATTCAGATTATATACAGCCTCCAAGTTGAAATGGTAGCTGTATACTTTATTAAAGTGGAAGTGAAAACCTATTTAATGCTAAACCTACAGCCACATTCTAAGCCTAATCTATGTAACCCAGTAAAGAAAAGATTGCTGTACTTAACTATTCTGAAGCTGCTCCAGTCCAGTCTCCAGTGGTGGCTGCTGTGTTGAGGGAGAAAGCCAACAAATGGCTGGGAAATGCCTGAGAGATGACGTCACCCATAGACTTATTATGGGGCGTCCATTGTCAGTTGCTTTTGCTCTACACAGAAGCCGCCACTGACAGCTCAGCGTGGGACTGGACCAGCTTCAGAATAGAAAAATATAGCAATCTTTTACAGGGTTAGATAGATTAGGCTTAGAATGTGGCTGAGAGCAGGTTAAATTATGAACTTTCACATTTTTCATTTTTTAGAAAAAGTTCCATGCTACTATGGTTATAGCATCTTTTGCAACATTTTTGTTTAATACCTTACATTTTCTAAAAAAAAAAGCAGCTGTAGTTGCCACACTTAGCTTCATGTTGGCACTGTCTCCTGAAAAAAAGTATTTTCCTTCATTAGATGGCAAGGCTCTTCAGGGTTTAATAATGGCCAGTGTTATTGAACTTACTTCCTATGAACCCAGACTGTCATGGACCCATCTCCTGGGGAGACATCATGTTTTTTTTTTTCTCCCTACATCGCTAACCAGCTATAAACATGTAGACAGTAGCATATGAAAAATCCAGTACTTCGATCTTACATGCTCAGGTCAGTGAATTAGTAGAAGCCAGGATGAAGATGAAAGCCTGAAAGTTAGTTGACAGTGGCAGCTTCAACAATTTCATCCTTGGAGGCACCCTTCAGGCTATAAGATAAATCGTACTAAGACTCATAAAGCTGTCCCAAGGCCACATAGGCTGTGCTGCAATGTGGAAAATCTCCTTGCGTATGGCAAATCCCCTAGTGTCATTGTTTTAACATATTTCTTTCCTCTGTAAACATGCAAGCATCAAACAGAGGATATATTCTTTGGGATTGTGTCGATTTGGCAAATGCAGCTTGTTTTTTGGTGCATTGTTTGCATTTGAGATCAAATTGAGATGTTTTTGAACCATTTAGGGTTCACTGCCAGGTACATTTTACCTGCAGTTGGCCTCCTTCTGACCTCCTTGAAAGCTTTGTCAAACTGCTTCAAGCTAATTTGCTTTCCTATTGACTGGTATAGAGAGATAAACAGTTGAAGCAAAGAAAGCAAGCTAAGCCTATTGACACAAGCCCTATCAAGTACACATATTATACATTAATTTATAATACTGTAGGTTTTAGGGACCTAAGGTCACAAATATTTGGAGTGACAGTAAAAGCACCACAAAATTTCCTTAAAAAGCTCCTAAAATCATATCTTGCTTATAAAAAAATCCAAAAATATATTTTGAATGACATTTGTTAACTGTGTTTCTTCACACAGTCAATTCCATGCATCTTTAATTTCATGTTTGATGTTCTTGAATACCAGACAGCATTTATTTTGTCAGCCCCCCAACACACAGCTTTTAAAGGAAGAGTGTTTTTAGAACACTGAACATTCATCATACCCTCTGTTATAAAAATAAGCCTGTAAAGCGAATCTATACATCCTTAAAATCCCACAGATGTCCATTAAATATAAGCTGCAAGTAGACTGTGACCTCTGATGTCATGGTTTGATAATATAAAAGGCTGTTATATTATGAGATCCCTGGGGACACTAAAGAAAGCATTTTCTTAAATAAAAAAATCATTTCAGAAGACTGACAGATATAATTGTGCCCCCAAAAATACTTCTTACAATGCACACAAAAGTCTAAAATACGGGTACCCCCTTGTTATACGTAGTCTAAAGAAATAGTGCCAATAACTAAAGCCCCTTTTTCTTTTTTCATTCCTATAAAGGGCTTGGATGAAGAAAGGTAGTATGTGAAATGCAACATCAAAGGGCAAAATGATTTTTGCATAGGTTTATCTATAAAATCTTTAAAAACAACAGACAACCAAAATTTGAGCAATCTAAGCTATAACTTGTTTTTCAATCTCGCCTGTAATTTCAATCAAAAGTTTTCTTTTATAAATAGATATTGGAAAGTAAATCAATTCTAAAGATTATGTCATAATGTTTCATCAATACACTTCTTTGCAATGAAGATGAGTTTGCCATTTTTTTTAATTTCATTTGATTTAAAAGCCATTGTATTTGGGATTACTTTTACATGAAGGGCTTGAATATTGTTTAAATGCATGTGATTTATATGTGCATTAGCAACAGGGATATACAATCCCTGTGCTATATGCTGAGTGCATTTTGCACCTGTATGCCGAACATATACGGTAATAATTTTTTAACAGATGGTACTTGAGACCTGTAAATTATTTGAAAGGATCCTCCATAGTAAAAGGTTACTAAAAAATAATTTAAAAGGATTAGGGATGGGAACAGTAGGTAAAAAAATAAACTATACAGCAGGCGCGGACTGACCATTTGGAAACTCGGGCACTGCCCGAGGGCCCGGGGTCAGTAGGGGGCCCCATGAGATGCCCCTGGTACCTTTTTCATAGGCTTTTTTGAGTTTGGGCAAGGACACAGGGGCCCAATGATCCCCTATTGCCCGGGGGCCCCTTGAGATGTCAGTCCGCCCCTGCTATACAGTAGTTGACAGAGTGAGCAGAGGGTAGAGAATAAAGCAGTGTAGGTTGAGTGATTGAAGTGAATGTCTTAACTAAGAGTATGCACCTGCTTTACTAAAGTGCAAAATAATAGCCTATTTACTAAACCATGCATTTTAGTGAAGCCTGCGTGGGTTTCCTCCGGGTACTCTGGTTTCTTCTGACATGCCAAATACTTGCTGGTAGGGTAATTGGCTCCTGTCTAGGGGCGGACTGACCATTTGGAAACTCGGGCACTGCCTGAGGGCCTGGGGTCAGTAGGGGGCCCCATGAGATGCCCCTGGTACCTTTCATAGGCTTTTTTGGGTATGGTTTGAGTGTGGGCAAAGACACAGGGGCCCCATGATCCCCTATTGCCTGGGGGCCCCATGAGTTGTCAGCCCGCCCCTGCTCCTGTCTAAATTGGCCCTAGTATGTGTATGTATGAATATATGAATGTGAGTTAGGGACATTAGATTGTATGCTCCTTGAAGGCAAGGACTGATGTGAATGTACAATATATATGTAAAACACTTCTTAAATAGATGACGCTATATAAGGACCTGTAATGAAAAACAAATAAAATAAATAAACTTCCTCACTGCAAACATCCAATCATGTGGAGAAGAAGTTTTAGGTTTTTGAAATTCCCTGCATATGACTGGATGCTTAACTACTTTCCCTCCAGAAGGATTTACCCTATTCCTGATCAGGCCATTTTTTGTTATCTGGCACTGGGTTACTTTACCTGACAATTGCGCGATCATGCAACACTGTACTCAAATGAAATTTGTATAATTTTTCACACAAATAGAGCTTTTGTTTGGTGATATTTGATCACCCCTGGGTTTTTTATTTTTTGCGATATAAATGAGAATTTTGTAAGAAAAAAACAATACTTAAACTTTCTTTTATAAAACATACCCAGGAAAAAAAAAAAATAAAATCTCTTCATACATTTTGGCCAAACTACATTCTGCTACATGCCTTTGGTAGAAAAAAAATGGCAATAAGTGTGTATTGAATGGTTTGTGAGAAAGTTATAGCGTCTATAAACTATGGGATGTATTACTGGAATTATAATTTTTTTATACTACTAATGGCAGTGATCAGTGACTTCAATAGGACTGTGATAGTGCGATGGGCAATCTGATACTAACCAATGCTGGGGAACTGACTAACTGCCACTGATATCACCAGTGACATTAATACAGTGATCAGTGCTAATAAAATGCACTATCACTGTAATAATGACACTAGGTAGGAAGGAGTTAACATCTAGGGCGAGCAAGAGGCTGTGTGCCTAACTATGTGTAATGTGTGCTGATTTCACTAAGGATCTTGTTGTTTTTTAATTCCCTGCTAAGCAGGGAATGAAAAAAACAACAAGATCCCCTGTTAGTGAACACAGCTCTGTGTTGTTTACAATGACAGAGCTAGGTTCAGCTGTGTTCAATGCCGATCACAGGGTCCTGCCGGTCAATCACTGGCTGGGACCTGGTGATCAGCATGTGCTGCAATGAATCACTGCACAGCTGGGCCAGCTAGCGCACGTGCACAACCAACCAAGTGTGGCCGCTCTGCCGCCATATATGTAAGTTATATGCTTGGCAAGCAGTAAAGTCATTACTTGTTTACTTTAGTTCCTTTTATACCTGAATACATATTTTTAGAATTTCTTTATGGGAAACTATAATGGTTTCAGTACTTTTTAATCTTTTTTTTTAATTATAGTTATAGTTATTACAACTTATGTTTTTATCAGATTTTTGTTTACTATAGGTTTTTGAAGAGAGAGCAAAGCAGAAGTTGTTTCTTTCCAGAAAATCTGTCTATAGTTGAATTGGACTGTGAAGCAGTATGATGGCATAAATCAGTACTCAGGCTCATTTACGTCCTTGTGTAAATTTCAGCTTGAACTACTGAGCTCATAAACAGTTTTTTTTCAACAGAGTCAATGAGAAGAACCTAGGAGACATGAGATAAGCTCCACCAGCTAATTGTATATAAAATCACAAAATATACAAAATGTATTTAGTTTAGCGTATACAATATAAAACAAATATTTTGTTCATCCTCACCATAATCGATCAATTAAAACAGCACACACAATACCACTGTGCATTTCTTTTTATCTCACTGCAATTCAGGTTTTAGTAAATCAGGCCCTACATGCTTGTCTGAAAAGAGACAATGTCATTAAACAAAGCAGACACTAACATCTGCTTTTATGTCTGAATCCCTGGCTGTACTAACAGGGTTCTGAGCTTGCCACCGTTACCTTTAGCCCCGTACATTCCTTTGGCTCATACCCATGATTAGCAGCCGCACTAACTGATAATATGCAGGAAGCTAGAAATCCCCCTGCCAGAGCAGCTCCAGCATTCAGCCTCAAAGGGTAATAATTCCACGTTGTGGAAAAAATATAGCATACATAATTTCTACACTATTCTAAAATATTAAGTTACAAGTCATGTTGTAACTTAATATTTTTGGAAATGACCTTTTCTTTTCAATCTGCAACCACTGCAATTTTCTGTAAAATGCAAGGCAATATGGCAACCTGGAGGCAATATGTACAGTCCAAGGATGCCTCTGCCTTTCAGAGTCATGCTTGTAACCTTGTCAGCCTTGCAATACCTCATGAGATATGTAGTTCAGCAACAGCTGATGGGCCACAGGTTGAGCACCCAGTGTACACAGTTGCTGTACAGAATACCCTCAGAAATGTAATTTTTTGCTTGTGTCTTTCCCTGAAGTTTGCATTAAGATACAAATTTTAGCCCCCCACCCCTGCAGTAGGATTTTCAGTTTTGGTGGGTTAAATACTTCCAAAGGGATGCAGACCCTGCAGCATTTCTCCTTATAACACTGAGAAGTGCGATCAAGTGATTATAATGAACCAGTCTTTCCCATTCAGATTCTGCAGAGGATATGATGAAACAAACAGCTATTTCTTCAGAGCAGTGGTCTTCAAACTGCAGCCCAAGGGCACAGATGTAGTCCTTTTGTCGCTTTTATCCGGTCCTTGGGGCACTATTTTATCCCGATAACAAAAATGGGAAATAATTCTCCTCAATGACACCAAAGAAGGGACACAATTTCTCCCAATGGCACAAAGGACGGAGCATAGTTTGTCCCAATGACACTGAAAGTGGAGCCCAATGACACCAAGAGTGGGTCACAATTCCTCCCAATAACACCAACGATGGGGTGCTATTCATCCCACTGAAACCAAAGATGGGGCATTGTCTATTCCCACTGACAACAGGACATTTTCTACTCCCAATAGCCAAAGTCCAGCTCCCCTAAAGCCCGAAGGACAGTAACTGGCCCTTTGTTTGGAAAGTTTGAAGACTCTTGCTTCAGCACAATGAAAGATAGGAATCTGCTACAAATGATAGGTAATATCCCTGCAATAGCGTATGTACTCTCCAGCGCCTCAAGATATGCACAGCCAAAAGGGAAGCCAAGGATACCAGGACAGCGACAACCAAAAGGAAATGTTCCAGGGGTGCAGCCCTCCTCAGACGGGGAAATCAGCCACTGGATAGAGAGAAAAACAGGTGGCGCACACACCTAGTGCATTATCCAAGGTTTATTGTAGGAATTAAATCATAAAAACATACTCACAGACGAAGCATGTATCTAAAAAGCATAGAAAAATGACAATGGCCACAACGGCAGGCAAGGTGTTCTCACTGTCAGTGCGGTCAAAATTCTGACGCGTTTCGGGGACGAATCCCTTTCCTCAGAGCTGATGACCAACCTCTGATGCTGATGCACGATGAATGGAAAGTAAAGTGAGAGCCCTGCTGTTGAGGCATCAACAGCAGGGCTCTCACTTTACTTTCCATTCATCGTGCATCAGCATCAGAGGTTGGTCATCAGCTCTGAGGAAAGATTCGTCCCCGAAACGCGTCAGCCATTTGACCGCACTGACAGTGAGAACACCTTGCCTGCCGTTGTGGCCATTGTCATTTTTCTATGCTTTTTAGATACATGCTTCGTCTGTGAGTATGTTTTTATGATTTAATTCCTACAATAAACCTTGGATAATGCACTAGGTGTGTGCGCCACCTGTTTTTCTCAATATCCCTGCAATGTACATACATTGATCACCCAGAGGGGATTCTTTTTCTCAAAAGTGGAGTTACTCTTTAAGGCCCCATTCACATCTGGGCTTTTGCATTCCCAGGCTGAATCACTACATTTCTGCTCGTGATCCCAAAGCACTCTGCAAAAATAACAAACGGAGCTTCTTTTGGCTTTGTGCGATGCGGTTTGTAGCAATTGCAGAGCACTTTGTCCCATGACAATCATGACAAAACCACACTACGTTCTGGTACAATTAAAAAAGAATGGCACCCGAACACGCGTGGTGCGATTTTTCATTTTTGCAGGATGCTTTGGGATTACTGGTAGAATTACTGCGATTCTGCTGGAGATCGCAATCGCACAGATGTGAATGCGGCCTATTTACAATTGATTCATTCACCTATCCATAGGGGTGAATAGACCATCTCATCAGATCTGCATGAAAAACTGATCTGTAGTGTGAATGGGGCCTCAGAGTCATGTTTTTAGCGTTTAATATACAAAACGACAAAATAACAACAAAAAAAAGACAAAACAGTACGTTCTATAAACATATCTCACTAATGCATGTTAGATAATTACCAAAGTATGTCAGTTGAGCTCCAACTGTCACTACATGATGTGATGATCACGGAGTCAGACCCCCAGCCCTTCTCACCAACTTGTAACCGAAGGACTAGCCAATCTAAAACCATCTAAAATCTAAAACGCGCGTAACAATGCCACGCCCAGCTGCACCCTGCAGAAAGATTTTCCAGCTAATGGACCACAATCTGTGTACCTGCAGTCTGGGAGCGATTGTTACTGTGTCAGGTTAATTATGCAATTAACCCTTCACACTGCCACCACCTCCTTTTTTGTACAGAGAAAGAGGAAACTCGTCAATATTAGCAATAACACTACGATGTTTGAATAATCGTTTGCATACACTGTCACTGCAGACAGATGTATGCAGACGTTAAAAACACACAGTAGCACTCTTCAGAGGCAGGGGTTCTTAGTTTGCATTAAAGAGTTTTAGAAACAATTCAACACTTTTCAGATAATAGGATTTATTAATAAAAAGGTCAAAATGGTGCAATAACAATATTTACAGAAAAATATGTAGCCAATATATACAGTAGGGCAAAAAAGTATTTAGTCAGCCACCAATTGTGCAACTTCTCCCACTTAAAAAAATGAGAGAGGCCTGTAATTGGCATCATAGGTAGACCTCAACTATGAGAGACAAAATGAGAAAAAAAATCCAGACAATCACATTGGCTGATTTGGAAAGAATTTATTTGCAAATTA